ACTCTTTACTAGGCAATGGCACATACTAGGCACTTGAATGTGTGAAATAAGTTTGAATGTGAATAAATGAAAAACAGCAATGAGTTAAAAAAAAGTCCCTGCTTTCACAAAAGTGAGAATTCTCACAAAAATGTAAGTAGCATGGCGCTATAACAGACTTAACACTTTTTAACATTATTTTAAGTCTATCTCCCACATTTTACTGTGAATTCCTTAAGGACAGGATTTTGTCTTCATTTCTATATCTTCAGTATCTAGCATACAGTAAGCACTCAATAAAGCATCTATCCAAAGAGGAAGAATATTATTTCACATGTATGTTTGTATAAACTCCAGAATATTTCAGTAGCTATCCCCTTAAGTAAAGTGGGGCTTCTTTTCAAGTTTAAATTTTAAAAGACAATACAACATAATTCTGCGGTGATAAGGAATGACTAATGTTAAAACAGCCTAGTGAGAGAAAAAGAAGTCAATCAAATTTTAATTGACATTTTAAGAAGAAATCAAATATATTTGAAAAGTCAAAAAAATACAGCTTCCTGCTCTGTGATTAAAAAAAAAAATCTGACGACACAGCAAATATTAGATTGATCTGTACGAGATCTTAAACATCACACAAAATGTCACGTTGCGTTAACTTTACAGGTTTCCTCTTGTTTAGTCTTCACTCTTAGGAGCAGGTGCTTTCCTGCTCCTAAGAAGCACAGCTTTAATGTGGATTCTAATTAACATTTTGTGTGCATAAATTATCAGAGAACTGCCTCCCCAGAAGCTTCCAGGTAAAATTAGTTGACTGAAAACTGGTACCGGTCATCGAGAGGTAGAATGGGCGGCTTGGGATACCCTTCTTGAATCTAGAGCAGGACTTGCCGGCTTCTCCAGCTAAAGCAATTCTTTCAAAGGGGAAAATTTCGATCTGATCCTATTTTGAAACTTCAACGACACGGCCACCGTGACTTTGCCCTTCAAAGAGCTTTAAGAAAGCCAGCATCTACAACTGTGGGAGGAAAAGCCTGGATTCACATCTAAAAAGACAGCAATCCAAGTGTCAACTGCTGGTGGGAGGAGGAAGATGAGGGAGGAGGGAGGAGTTCATTTTATTTCACAGTACCAACACTACATGGGTTTTGTGTGTGTTTTTCCCTCGTTCTCCAGAAAGACAGCTTTCCAATTCCTTCAAATGTGTGAAATCTAACCTTTACTTTCTTACAGGCTGCAACATTTGGGTTCTAAATAAAGAAGAACACATCAATGTTTGGCCCTCACTCAGGGCCCCACGTACTACGGTTGAGAATGCAGCAATGGGAGCCCAGCATTCACAGCAGAGCAATGCTAACTTTCCCGGGGTGACGCTTACATGGGTCATGGTTCTGAGGATGCCCGCCTCCCCAGCTCAGGATCACGAAAGTAAGGGACAATAGCAGGCCTGAAGTTCCACACCACTCATTTTACAAGCTGGTGGGATACAGAATCTGGAAACCTGGATGGTACCCAGCGATTAAAAATAATCTAGTTAATAAATGGAGTAATACATGTTAGAATGAAATTGTCCACCTAAACCATTTTGAATAGAAAAATATGTGTAATATTGCTTACATCTTTAGTAATTCTTTTCTAACTTTTAATTATGGTAAATTACACATAACAAGATTTACCATCTTAACCATTTTGAAATATACAGTTCAAGAATATAAAGTGCATTCTCATTGTTGTGCAACCAATCTCCAGAATTCTCTTTATCCTGTAAAACTGAAATGCCATACCCATTAAAAAGCTCTCCACTCCTCCCTCCCCTCCAGCACCGGCAACCACCCTTCCACTTACTGTTTATAAATCTCATTACTCTAGACACCTCACGTAAGTAGAGTCACACTGTATTTGTCATTTTGTGACTGGCTTATTTCACTTAGCACAATGACCTCAAGGTTCACCCATGTTGCATGATGTGTCAGAATTTCCTTTCTTTTTAAGGTTGAATAACATTCCATTGTTAGACCATGGTTTTGTTTATCCATTCATCTACTATACACGTGGGTTGCTTCTACTTTGTGGCTATTGTGAATAATGCTGCCATGAACATGGGCATACAAATATCTCCTTGAGTCACTCTTTTAATTCTTTTGGATAAATAGCCATGAGTGGGATTGTTGAAACATATGGTAATTCTATTTTTAATTTTTTGAAAAACTGCCATACTGTTTTCCACAGTGGCTCTGCCATTTTATATTGCCACAACATCTTTGCCAATCTTGTTGTTGTCTGTCTTTTTTATAATGGCTGTCCTCATGCAAATGAGCTGGATCCTCAGTAATTTTTATATCTCCCAGGTTTTCTAAAATATCCCTGTATTATTTTAATAATCAAAGAAAAATCCAGTTAGATACATTCAATCATTAAAAGTGACTACACACATATACACTTAGTAGTATAGAAAGACCTTTATCATATAGTCTAATTTTTTAAATGAAGGTTATTGTATGAGTTATACAAGACTAAGTTTATTATCACCTATGTTTGTGTGTATACATATTCCCATATGTATACATATACTCTAAGTTTTATAGAGACTTAGTGGAATGTGAAAAGAAATATAAAAACAATAAACCAGAAACTTAACAGTAACTATCTCTGGATAGTGGTAATTTAAGTGGGTCAATATTTTTTGTATTTATTTTCTGATCTTTACCCATGAATATGCATGCCTTCTATAATAATGAATAATAACAATGAAGGGGATATTTTGGTAAAACTGTTAGGCAGCCACCTTGCTGTGGCTCGGAACTGTTGCTCAGATGTCTGAGAACACTCAAGCCAGGACAGCATCCTCTGACTCAGTGATGATCCTATTGTATAAATTCTACTTTTACTCCCTAAAACAGCAGTTCTCAACCTGTGGGCCGCGACCCCTTTGGAGGTCAAATGACCCTTTCACAGGGGTCACCTAAGACCATCAGAAAACACATATATAATTACATATTGTTTTTGTGATTAATCACTTAACACCTTAATGAAATTGGGGGTCACCACAACATGAGGAACTGTATTAAACGGTCCTTAATGAAATTGGGGGTCACCACAACATGAGGAACTGTATTAAAGGGTCGAGGCCTTAGGAAGGTTGAGAACCACTGCCCTAAGGGATTTGAGGCTTTATTTGGCTAATATTATAATAGATGCTGAAATGCAGGAGTTGAGAGCATGGCAATTTGCAATCTGTATTCTACATCCTCAGAATCACAAAGACGAGACCTAACAAAACAGAACATACAAGTCCAGTTTCTTATGCTTAACATGCTAAAATATACATGTGTGTAATACACAAGATTTGCAAGTTACAAAGAGAAAAATGGGCTGAAGATAGCTATTCCAACCAAGTTTACAATACATTACATAATATTTTAGTTACTGTTAAATAAGAAATACTTATATTTTCACATTTTTTGGTGAAAACTCTTTTTATGCTTTAACATATGCATGTGTGTATGTTTAATGTGCTCTTAAATCCCAATCTTGCTTATCTCCCTGAACTAAAAGAACAGGACAATATGTCCAAATTTAGGCACAAAGAAAGTAGAGAAAAGAGTGCTGTAAAGACAAGAGAAAAAAACAGGGGCACAAAGAAAAAATGCCAGCCAAAGATTCTTCTACCTGCTAGAAACTAGAAGCTCGATCCCAGCCTTCCTTCTGCATCATCACTATTAACCCTCTCCACTCCATTCCTGGCCCTCAAATTGGGAGGCTGTGACATTAGTGAAGATGACTCTCAGGAGCACAGCAGATATAACCAATGATCGAATTACCCAACACTTACTGCCTTTAATTCTGAAATCATCCCCTGGCTCTCCTTCCGCATGTCTTGGCCTCAGTTCCAATCAACATGTGCGCCCCTCATGATGGCTACCAGCCAGTGCCTTGACATTTCTTTCTTAATCCATCACCTCCATTCCAGCTTCACGTCTACCCATTCAGCCTGGATCCTGGATAAGTCACTGAAGTAATGGATTCATTACATGCTAACTTCCTTTAACTGTTTCTTCGTATTGGTATACAGTCAAAGGTTAGCCTCCCAAAGAAAGGACTGAGAGAAAGAATAAGAGAACAGAAACTGGCCCTTTTCTTAAAATTTTCAACAATTCCCAAATGTCTGCTAAACTAAGGACACCGAGAGGTCACAGGTTCAATTCCTGGTCAGGGCGCATGCCCTAGTTGCAGACTTGATCTACATGCAGTAGGGGGCATGCAGGAGGCAGCCAACTGATGTCTCTCTGTCTCTCTCTCTCTCTCTCTCTCTCTCTCTCTCTCATCAATGTTTCTTTCTCTCTCCCTCTCCCTTCCTCTCTAAAATCAATAAAAACATTTTTTTGAACTGTCTAGAGGTAAACACACCCAATGAAAGGAATGGTTGCAAGATAATGACAAATTGATGAATGCCTTTTAAACTTTCTTCTATTACTAATTATTTTTAGACAAGTTTATATCATCTTTTCTTTAAATTAAAAAAAAAGTGTTTTAATTATTTCTTTTGGTTTCTCAAAGCCCTTGCACTATGTTTTCCCCTTTCTAAAGCCCAGAAAGTGACTGATCCAACCTGCCTCACCTTTGCTGGAGACTTCCCAGACTAACATCTGGCAGTCATCAGAAGCACAGAAACAAGCGAGGCTGCTCACCCCAGAGATTTCCAATACAATAAAATCAAAAGGGAGGAAGCAGGGACGGACAGATGGATGGACGGACACACACACACAAACTATCCCTTCAGGCAACATGCATGTACCTATGTCTCTGTGTTGACTTTATTTCAATAATTCTGAAGTTACCTGCCTTTTCAAGTCCTTCGTGGTTAATCTCAGCAAATTGCCTACTACTTGTAAAAGGCAAAAACAAGGAAATCGAAGCAAAGAGAACATGAATTGTATCGACTCTAAAAGCTGATGTAGCTTTCCCCAAATATCAGAGGTTTCCTGTAGACAAGACATTTCCACTATTTGTTTCCTGCTCACCAGGTGCTTTGCCTTCGTGCGGTCCTGCTCACTCGATATCCTCTCTCGGAGAATAGCTCTGGTTAACTGCTCATTGGCAAGAGCCCTCTCCCGGTCCAGTTCTTTGCTTTGCTTTAGTCTGAAAAGACAAGAAACGTCTAAATTAGAAAGAAAACATTTATTAGTTGACATTATTTTTAATACAGTACTTAAATAAAGAGAAACAGCTGAAATCATTTTGACAACAGTTTATCAAAAGCAGTTGTATTTTCTAGTAAATCCCCATGCAACTCTTCCCTGAGCATTAAACTAACAGAATTAAAATAGATGGAGTTTACCAGTGTAACTGCTAAGCTACTTTTACAAAGTTCTTCTTATGTAAAACTGAAATCTGGCCGCCTAAAAATTCCGATGCCACCTGTGCTCTCTGAGATATAAGTAATAAATCTAATTAACAAGCATCTATCTACAAGACCAATATTTGAAGGTGACCATCTCTTCCCCTCAAAAATCAACTGTTTTGAATACACAGCAGACCCTATAGGAGGCACTGATAACACAGTGCTGAACAAGGTGGACATGTCGCAGTCCTCATGGATCTTATGTTACAGTAGGGGACTCAAATCACAATTAAGATGTCTTTTCGGCCCAGCAGGCGTGGCTCAGTGGTTGAGCATCTACCTATGAACCAGGAGGTCATGGTTCAAATCCGTCAGGGCACAGGCCCAGGTTGTGTTCTTGATACCAGTGGGGGCATGCAGGAGGTAGCCTATCAGTGATTATCTCTCATCATTAATGTTCCTATCTCTCCCTCTCCCTTCCTCCCACCCAGTGAATTACTCCCATTTTCCAACAATCCTCATATGCAAAGCTAGCCAGGCCTTTCAACAGCAGGGCTCCTCACCTCTGGAACTGCTCCAATTTGTCCCTTAGCTCTAAACCAAATGTAACACTACGGTCTAGCAAAATAAAACCGCAGAACTGTACCTCCCAAAACCTGCACACAATGCTAATTGTATTAATAAAGCATCTTATTGCATTAGGTTTATCAGAAACCTCATCACAATTAGGTCCTATTAACTAACAATCCACTAAAACCCCTCATTGTGCATGAAAAAGATAAATTACTTTGGCACCGATCTTCACCATAGAGCCTGGCACATAAAGGTATTCAGATAAATGAGCATACATTTCAGTTTAATTTCATGGACAAAGATTTTCTGATTGCCTTTTCTTCTTGGAGAGAATAACCCCTCTATACCATCATATCCCCAAAGGTCTAAGCCATGCTTTGAAAAGAAAAGGTAAAATTGTTATATTGGTATAAGTGAAATTCTCAGTGAAACCTACTTTATAAGTGAAAATGATGAATAACAAATGGAACTCAGTACTAATCTATCAAATTTTAATTTTAAAAAATTCTTGAGCCCTGATTGGTTTGGCTCAGTAGTTTGGAGCATCCTCCTATGGACCGAAAGGTCATGGTTTGATTCCCAATCAGGGCACATGCCTGGGTTGTGGGTTCGATCCCCAGTCAGGGGGATGAAAGAAAAGCAGCCAGTCAATGTTTCTCTCCCTCCCTCTCTCTCTCTTTCTCTCCACCCCCCTCCCCCCAACCCCTCTGTCTAAAATCAGTGAACATATCGTAGGGTGAGGGCCAGAAAAATAAATAAATAAGTAATTAAATAATTCTTGAAAAGAGCACATGAAAACAGTTTGTGTTACTATTTTTAAATTGCTACGTCATCCTGATACACTATAATCCTCAGATATCAATTATAACAGATAAAATCACCATGTAAGTAGCAGCAATAATACCCACTATGGGGTCAGAAATACAGAGAAAGCAGTGATTTTCTGAAAAGAAGAAAAATCTCCTAATTCACCACATACAGCTTTGTTTTCTCTATCTTTGTTTTCAATTTTTCATCAATAAAAAGTTCCGTTTTCTTTTTATTATCGTCAAGGGCTTCTAAAATCAAAAGTTGTAATGCGTTCCTCCCCCTAAAAATTAAACCTGCTTGCTTTTGTGTTCTTAAATAAAGATGAATAATAGAAACAAATTAAAACCAGCACTTTGAAATTGTCTAATGCAAAAGCAACTGCTAGAATATTTTTTCTTAAGCAATAAAGAGCAATTATACTTATACAAACCAAAGTTCTCTATATCATATCAAAATAAATTTCACAGTAAGAGCAGCAACATCATGACTCCACACATTAACTCACTGGACATGTATGACTGTAAGACAACAGCCATAATTAGAAGTCATGTCACTCCCGGAGTGGCAATTCTAAAACTATGATCCACAAACCAGCAATACCTGGGAGAATGCCAGGCAAATCCTCAGATACACCCCACACCTCCTGGGATCAGAAACTCGGGGTGGCCAGAAAACTGTCTTGTAGGAAGCCTGCCAAGTGATTCTGATGCAGACTGAAGTTGGGCCTCAGCCCTCAATTACCAAAATGCAGATTTACCCAAATAAATCCTGGAGATATATAAAAGGAGAGATCCACATATGAACGCTGAGGTTACTGAATCAGGTTATCATCCTCTGTTGTTAAAGTATTTTAAAAGCTTATCATCTGAAAGTAAAAATTATTACCTACTTTACAAGTGAAGTAGAAACGAAAATACTAAAAATTACTATCATTTATGGGTCACCTATTATATGGCACGCACTGTGCTCACAAGGCACTTTAGATACATATAGAGGACGACTATAAAAATTACTTATACAATGAGTTCTATACACTAGACTTTTCTCATGTCTACCATATTTGGTATATCACATTTTTAAAAAGTATATTTTAATAATAAATACATGTTTTTTTCTGCATTTTCTTGCATATGGCATAAATTTTAATTACACATGGAGTTAAAAGTGGCTGAACTTTAAGAAATATCATGAAGTTTTGGCAAGTTAACAAATAAAAGCAAAAAACTGAGCACAAAAACCTTTACTGTCATAATAAAAAATATAGGCTATTCAGCTTGTAATACTTAATACTTGGCCCAGATGCACAAACTCTGGAGACCGACTCCTGGGTCCAAATCAAGGCTCGACCACTTACTGAGTAAGTACTTAGTGAACCTCCCTGGGTCCTGTATTCTCAAGAGTAAAATGGATGGTATAATCCCTACCTTACAGGGTTCTATATACACAAAGCACTTAGCACAATGCCTGTGACAGAATAAGCAATCAACACGTTAGGTAAGTAGCAGCAATAATACCGACTATGGGATCAGAAATACAGAGAAAGCAGTGATTTTCTGAAAAGAAGAAAAATCTCCCAATTCACCACATACAGCTTTGTTTTCTCTATCTTTGTTTTCAATTTTTCATCAATAAAATGTTCCGTTTTCTTTTTATTATCATCAAGGGCTTCTAAAACAAAAATTGGCAATAATGACCTGGCGGCCCCATCCTTTCACGCGCCTTTCTTTCTTTGCCAGAAGGGCAAGGACCTGGTCTACTTTTGTTCACTGCTATATCCTGATGCTTTTTTTTATATAGACACATTTTTTTAATGTTTGGGTTTTTGTTTTTTGTTTTCAAAGAAAGGGAGGGAAATAGAGAAATAAAAACATCAATGATGAGAAAGAATTGACTGGCTGCCTCCTGTTCTCTCCCTTCTGGGGATCAAGCCCACAACCTAGGCATATGCACTGACTGGGAATCGAACCGTGACCTCCTTGTTCATGGGTTGATGCTCAACCACTGGGCCACACAGGCCGGGCTATCCCCAATTCTTTTAACAGTCCCTGCCACACGGTAAGTGTTCAAATACTTTTGAATGTACCCATTCATAAAGAAATGAATGGCATATTTCCAAACTCAGACAAAAAATGAAAACCAGCTGAAGAAACAGAATTTTAGAAACAACTAGATGAGTTGAAGCCTACAGGGCCAAGCCACCATGTTCTAACTGTCACGAGTGTGATTTAATCCCAGAATACACTAAGTCACTTAAAACAGCAGGATGTTATAATATTTTCAATATAAAAGATTTGCTATACCCTATGCTATCATAGCCTCTGGAATACCGTACCTAACTGTGCTTGATTCTTGGCTGCAGAGAGACTTGGGAATGGCACAAACTGACTAAAAAGAAAATTATTTTCCTTTCTTAATTCTTACCTTTACTTTCATTCATCCTTATAAACAGGCCTATATCTTTAGGAGTTTAGGAGAGGTCCCAGAACAAATCCTCATTACTTACCAGCAACGTAGCTGGACAATTTAATAAACCTCAGTTTTCCCAGCTTTAAAATGTGAAGATTGAACTACATATTTTATATATATAACCACATATAGTCCTAAGGTCCCTTTCAGTTAAAAGTTTTACAAGCATCATACATTAAATATATTATTCCCCATTCCATTAAAACTCTTGAGAAAAGTGATAGCAGGGAATAAATGAAACTATGGAGTGTTTACTCCAAATTTTATCGTTATCTCACGGGGCACTTATATTTCTAGTCTCATTCAAGTTTCCTACTACTTGATAAAACTGTATGCTAAGTCAGAATAAATGGGATTCACAAATTCATTCAATATACATAATATAATTATGTATGATTATTAGGTGACAGACACTACTCTGGTTACTGAGAATAAAATGATGAGCAAAGGAGACAGTCCTTACCCTCAAGAAGCTCAAACTCTGAAAAAACATTATTTATACAAAGTGCGGATACTGTGAAATTGTATGAGAGGGAGCTGATATTTGAATTGAAATCTAATTAATGCTGACATAGCAGCATAGGGAAGGCCAGTGTCTTAATTCTGTGACTGCTGTTTCAGAGACCAAAGGTTTGCAGATCTAGAGACACAGAGGGAACTCTCTTAAAACACAGGCACATCCCCACAGCACACTCATGGACACACACAACACATACAGTTTTCAATAAAAATTAATGCGAGGCTTAAAGGGTCCACTAAAGCTTAAAATCACCTTGGCAATTTAGAAGAAAAAAACTTAGAAGACAGTTTTGCTTTCTTTCCAATTATTCTAAAGGGCCAAGTTTCACATAAATGGTGTAACTAGTTGAGGTTTCCTTTTTTACTTTAGAAGCAAAAGCAACAGACTGAACACTTCTAAGCTGTATTACTCCTCATCTCCCCAACTCTC